CGTGCATTTTTTTGTGCATAAAATAGCTCGAGAAATAGGCAAAAGCCTTCCCGCAGTCCTTACATGAATAAGATTTATCTAGCACGTGAATTTTCCTATGCGCAGAAAGGCTGGAGAAATGAAGAAAGGCCTTTCCACAGTCAGTGCACAAATAAGGTTTCTCTTCACTATGAATATTCTTGTGCAAACTGAGGCTTGAGGGTTGGGTAAAGGCCTTCCCATTCTCTTTACATACAGATGGTTTCTCTACCGTTTGAACTCTCCTCTGTATAATAGGGCGTGAGGAACGATGGAGGGGCTGCCCACACTCTTTCTGATTACCCGACTTCTCTCCTCTATGGCCATTCACAGGGTCAAGTCGGTGTGACATTTGACTCAATGTTTGTTTTTGCTGTTGACATTTCTGGGATTTCTGTGCACTCTGGGTTTCTATGGGAACCCCATGGTGCCTAGAACATGGGAAGGTTCCCCCACACTCCTCACACATGGATGGGTTCTGTTCATGGTGACTTTGCTTGTGGCCCTGTTGGCGTGAGGGACTCGCTATGAACAGTGCTCCTCTCTCACAATCCAGGGGCTGTCGCACTGGGGGGTTTTGTGTGCATGGATTGAGCAGAACGTACTTGGAGTAGCTATTCCCAGGGGAGGGATTCTTTGGAGCGAGGGAGCCCTCTCCATTCTGATCACCTTCAGAAGACATCCCAACTATCTTGGCATCCCCATGAGGCTGAGGGCATGATTCCTCACTTGAGACTTTGCCCTGGTGTGCAAGGTCAAAGACATCCCACTGGAGCTGGCTGCTTCCCTGTAGAACAGGAGAGAAGGATTCCAATTACTGCTCTAGTCCTTAAAAGTCTCCATGTCTAAAGAAATTAAGCCCTGTGGGTTGGTTACTAACATTTCCACCATACAAATGCAACTCCTCACAGGTATTTGTAAATACCTGAAAATACCTTTCCTAAAAATGACCTAATGTATTTGCAAGATGGGTGCACAAAATAAAAGGATGAGGGTCATTAAGTTTGTAAATTATTTTTCAACTAAATGAATAGATATCTTAAATGGATATAAGGCCCTCTGCAAAACATGAATTACTAGTGAGGGCAACCTGCATCCCCACATAGCTGAGACAGACCATAGGGGCCACCTAAAACATCTCACCACAAGAGGATTCCTCTCCAGGATCAATGACTTTTTTGTGTGTTTGTTTTGTAGTTTGTATTTATTTTGAGGGTGGCCATACTAAGCTCTAGGATCACTGTGGTGGATTTCGGGGGACATTTTAGGTGCTAGGGATGGAGCCAGGTTTCTGTTCCTGTGCAAAACAAGTGCCTGTCCCTCTGCACCAGAACTAGGGCTGACAAACCAGTTCTTTTTTTTTTTTATATAATTTATTTATTTATTTATTGAATCACTGTGGGAAAAGTTACAGAGCTTTCAGGTTTAGGTCTCAGTCATGCAAATATCAAACACATTTCCCTTTACCAATACTTATTTTTTACCGCGAACCCCAATAGAACCCCACCTCCCACCCCTCCCAATGCCTGTGAGGCAGATGAGTTCTAGTTAACACTCTATCTACTTTGACTAGATTCATTGTTTCGATAAAAGATGCACCATTATTATTTAGATTTTACCCCTCCCCCCCAAATCAGACATGCTGAGCAAACCAGTTCTTTTTAAAAATAAAAACTGTGCTTGCTTATGATCAAAAAAGATCATATTTCTTCAGTATTAAAAATTTGCTGCCACATCAATAAATTCCCTCCGGGCACCATCTCGGGGCACCAACAACCCTGGTCCAGGGATTCCCAATTGAATCCCAAAATAGATTCTAGCCCTAAAGAGATGTCTCTGGCCCCCCATCCATTTACAACCTTAGAATTCCAGAATCAAGCAGCCACAAAAGTGGCTACACAACCTCTTATATTCAAAGTGAACAATAGAAAATAAATTACCTAGCATCTGTCCCTGATAGGCAGACTTGAATAGTGGTGGGAAAATTCAATCACAGTATAATGCCCAAAAGTAGAGGGAGTGTATTGGGGAAATTGTCTGCCACAGAGGCAGGGTAAGGACTGGGATGAGGGCGGGGGATACTGGGGACTTTGGTGGTAGAAAACGTGCACTTGTGGAGGGATGGGTGTTCAATCATTGTATGGCTGAAGCTCAAACATGAAACCTTTGAATCTGTATCTCACGTTGATTCTAAATAAATAAATAAATGAGGCTGGGGGCGGGGTGGCCTGGAGGGTGTATGCCTTCAATACAGCCTCCCTGGGTTGAATTCCTGCAATCCCATATGGTACCCAGGACAAAGCCAAGATTCATTCCTGAGTGCAGAGCCAGGAGTAACCAGGGTGTGGCCCAAAAAAGGCAAATAAATAAATAAATAAAACCTGTGTGAGAGTGCAAGTACAGCAGGAAAAACAATTGCTCTGCATCAATTTGATCCCCGGCATAGAACATGGTCCACGGTGCACTGCCAGCAGTAATTTCTGAGGGCAAACCCAGGCGATAACCCCGATATCACCTTGTAAGATCCAAAATGCAATAATAATAATAATAATAATAATAATAACAACAACAAGAATTTCGAAGAAAAATTTCGAAGAAGAAGAAGAAGAAGAATTTCGAAGAAGAATTTTGAAAAAGAAGAATTTTGAAGAAGAAGAATTTCGAAGAAGAATTTCGAAGAAGAAGAATTTCGAAGAAGAAGAAGAAGAATTTCGAAGAAGAAGAAGAATTTCGAAGAAGAAGAAGAATTTTGAAGAAGAAGAAGAAGAATTTTGAAGAAGAAGAATTTTGAAGAAGTAGAAGAAGAAGAAGAATTTTGAAGAAGAAGAAGTAGTAGAAGAAGAATTTTGAAGAAGAAATTCGAAGAAGAAGAAGAATTTAGAAGAAGAAGAAGAAGAAGAAGAAGAAGAAGAAGAAGAAGAAGAAGAAGAAGAAGAAGAAGAAGAAGAGGAAGGAAAAGAAGAAGAAGAAGAATTTTGAAGAAGAAGAATTTCGAGGGAGAAGGAGAATTTCGAAGGAGAAGGAAAATTTCGAAGGAGAAAAGAAGGAGGAGAAGGAGAAGGAGGAGGAGGAGGAGGAAGAGGTGGTGGAGGAGAAGGAGGAGGAGGAGGAGGAGGAGAAGGAGAAGGAGAAGGAGAAGGAGAAGGAAGAAGAATTTCTTTAGATTTTAAATGAATGATTTTAGCACTGAGTGTGGCTAATGGAACTCTACTCCCAGCATTAGGCTCCAAATTTCCTCCCTGTGATTCCCAAACACCATCTATGTGGTGGCTGGATGGAACCCAAACTCCTACCTCTTAACTCACATTCTCAGTCTATTGACCTATTCATCCAACATAATATTTATATTCAATGTGTGAATCTTACCAGCTCACTTGCATTCGGTGATCCCGTTCCCAAATCAAATTGCAGCCTTGTCATATCCTGAAGCTGTGGTTTGAGATCTGAAATCAATCGCAATATGCAATGGAAGAATTCGTTAAATGGAATGTAGCTGAATGAGGCTGGGCAGTTGGAGGACGCCTCTATGGACCTCTCAGTCCAGACAGGCCCACAGCAAAGGGAAGGTCCTGGGGGAAGGATATCCATGAGCAGCCTATCAATCCCCAAATTGAGTAGAGTCTTTTGTTTTTTGACCACACCTGGTGAGGCCCTAGGGACCATATGGGATGCAGGAATTCAACCTGGGTCAGCCAGTGTAAGGCAAGCACCCGACCTCCTAGCATACAAAATCTCCAATTCAATTTGGCTTCGTTATGGGCTCCCTCATTTCCTATTTCAACATAAAGACAAAAGATATTTCTTAGTGGGTCAGAAAGAGAACAGCAGGTAGGCATCTGCCTTGCATGAGGCTGATGGGCCGATGCTTAAGCACCATCCAAAGCAACCTCTGAGATCATCCAGGATTAACACGTGAATATCACAGGCAGAGTCTCCTGCCCCCGCGCCTGGCTGTCCTCGCCGGGGCCCCTTGGAGGGAGCGGGTTGAGTTTCCCTCCCTGCCCCGACCAGGGCTCCGGCAGCCGAAGACCTCCAGAACCAGCCACCACCATGCTGAGACCACTCTCCACACACATGAAGGTACCGGCTGAGGAACAAAGGCATGCAGGTCCTGGGGCTGAGATCTTCAAGCCTGCTTGGATCAGGGCTGAGCATCCTCCACCCAGATCCTCCAAATTCCAGTAGGCGGGGGTCACACCCACCAACTGGCCCCCTGGCGCCATGTAATCCCATCAACGGCCAAAACCCAGAGACTATAGAACCCAGCTCCCGGAAGCTTGCGGCCACAAATGCGGCTGCATGACATCTTATTATCTCATTCCTACTTTGGACAAACTGGCAGGCTACTGAATGTAACCTGCCCACACGGCAGAGTCTGGCAAACTCCCTGTGGCATACCCAATATGCCAAATACCAGTAACAATGATGGGTCTCTTCTCCTAACTCTGAAAGAGCCTTGAATATGGCACTTTAAAAAAAAAAATCTCAAGGCTAGGACAAAGGAGATGTTACTGGGGCCTGCTCAAGGCAATCGACGAATAACAGGGTGGTCATGATCGTTGTGATCACAGGTCCCAAAGACCAAAGAATAATAAGATTGCTAGGATACTCAAAAACCATATTAATGATCCAAGGGCAAAGGGAAAAGCATGACAGAAAGTGCAGCGGGAAAGGGCGCCTCCACATTGCCGGCAGCACATCCAGTTGCAAAGGCACAGACAGGGTGACTGAGGGCAAGAATTCCCGTGGACAATTCTACATGCCTGACAGTTGAGAGAAATAACGACAAAGCTAAGAAAGCAAAGTGCAGGGTCATTTTGTGATGGACAACCCAGTGGACTAAAGGGCAGTCTGAGCGTGGCACAGACTCCTGGATCCAGGTGGCTGAGGCCACCAGAGTCAGCAGTGTGATTCATGTGCCTTGGGGGACCCTCACACTGCCCAGGGAGGGCCCGAGCCAGGGAAGGTCCTCAGACACTCACCTGCACACACGCCTCTCCTCCCTGGCCTCAGGATTTCTCCTTCCAACCAGGTTATCAGTCCTGGCTTCACCCTGGAATGCCCTGTGTCGTAGACATGGAAGCACAGGTTAGTGACAAGGAAAAGGCGACAGGCCAAACAAATTTGCTCCAAATAAAACCAGGAAATTAAATAAAATGACAAGACAGAATTTTCATGTGTTCTAGATTGGTTGTTATCAGGGACATAAGACCCACATTTCAATTTAAGACTAAAATTGAGTCATGTGGGGCTGGAGCAATAGCACAGCGCTTAGGGCGTTTGCCTTGCATGTGGCCAACCCGGGTTCGATTCCTAGCATCCCATAGGGTCCCCTGAGCACCGCCAGGGTTAATTCCTGAGTGCAGAGCCAGGAGCACCCCCTGTGCATCACCAGGTGTGACCAAAAAGCCAAAAATAAATAAATACATAAATAAAAATAAAATAAAATTGAGTCATGCTGATTTTCCCAAGAACCACTGGGGTGACCTCAAGCACCCAGCAGCCCTGTGGAGTGAGGTCCTAAAAAAGAAATGAACTTGTGGCGAGAGTGACAGTCCAGTAGGGCTGGCATGTGCCTGACACAAATTTACAGATTTGATCCCTGGCATCCATATGGTCACAGAGCACAGCCAGGAGAAAGTCCTGATATATATCCATGGGTAATCCCTGAGCTTTGCAGGGTCAAGCAATCAAACCAAACCAAACAAAACCAAAAAGAATAACAAAGTTGTAGGCCTGTTGCTATAATATAGCATGTAAGGCCTTGTAACCTGCTGTTGGGTTTAACTCACAGCATCCCCACGGTGCCCCTGAGCAATGACATGAGTGATAGATCAGTACAGAGACTGGCTGACCATGGACTTTGGCCCTGAACTAAATCCACAGGAAAAATAAAACCAACACACTGAAGTGAAGGGTAGAACAAGAAGTCAATTAACAAGCAATGGAAAGAACTATAAAGAAGATAAGTGTAAGAGCACAGCGCACTGGGTGTTCCTTGCATGTGGCTGAACTGGATTGATTTCCCTCATCCCACATGGACGCAGAGCCCACCAAGAGTTATCTCTGAGAACAGAGTCAGGGCTAACCCCTGAAATTGCCAGGTGTGGCCCATAATAAAAAGAGAAAAATAGGGGCTGGAGCAAGACCACAGCGGGTTGGGCGTTTGCCTTGCACGTGGCCAACCCGGGTTCGATTCCCAGCATCCCATATGGTCCCAAGAGCACTGCGCCAGGTGTGACCCCCCCCCCAAAAAAAAAGAGAGAGAGAAATAGAAGGACCAAAAGAAACAGTGATCTACATGGCTGTCAAAATCCCCGCCCATATTGAACACAAAGCCTGGGTCCAACTCCCAGAGCCCGCGGTTATCTGTCCTGGCATGGTCAGCCTATGGAGCGCTCACCCAAGGCCCGCAGGTGCTGATAGGTCTCCAGCATCACATCCCTGTAAAGCTTCCTCTGAGAGGCATTCAGACACATCCACTCCTCTGCGGTGAAGCTCACGGCCACATCTTGGAAGGTCAACGCATCCTGAACCGACACACACGGGGGGATGAGAGTCAGCGTCAGTCACCACCCTGTTCCCTGGGCTAGGAGAACGGGACCCCCAGTGACCCAGAGGGCGCAGAATCTTTCAAACAGGAGGAACCAGCTCACATCCTCCTGGGTTACTGGCCCAGTAAGTCACTTAAGGCAGCCAGATTTGGTAAAATGTGATGACATTCTACTAGCAAGTTCCTGGAGATACGGCTTTACACACAGACACCCCAGAGCCAATTCCAGCAGCACTGGTCTAATGAGCACTGCAAAGAGCAAGAACTGAGTACAACACTAAAAAAGCAACGCCTAGGGCTGGAGAGATAGCACAGCGGGTAGGGCGTTTGCCTTGCACGCGGCTGACCTGGGTTCCCAGCATCCCATATGGTTCCCTGAGCACCGCCAGGGGTAATTCCTGAGTGCATGAGCCAGGAGTGAACCCTGTGCATTGCCGGGTGTGACCCAAAAAGCAAAAAAAAAAAAAAAAAAAAAAAAAAAGCAACGCTTGGTTTGGCCCAAAACATTGAAGACACACAATGCCTGCACCCCATATCCCATGACAACTAGGGATGAGAAAGGAACACTCCTTCCAGGGAGCGACTCAAAGCTGTGCATGGACACATGTGCCTGTAGAACTCTTAATTCACAGCTAAGGGCCACCCTGTATTACTGTCAAAATAGGTAAATGTGTTTCAACATCAAACACTCTGGCTTGGCCCAGAGTTCCTCTGCTGCATCTCCCTAGGACAGGTGCATGCCGGGAACTGCGCACACAGTATTGAGTTGAACAGAAGACTGTGACTGAGCAGGCAAGAATCTCCAGACTTGGAAGACAAAATAGGGGATAATCCTTGTCCTGGGTTCCAGAGTCATTGTAGTAGCCAGGGTGCTTAAGGGCCAGCACACCCCGGGGACCCCCTGATGTCCGTCAGGTATGAATCCACAGCCCACAGCCAAGAGTGAGCCCTGAGCACCTCAACTGTGACAAATAAATAAATACAAAAGGAAACAAAGCAGAAGATGCAGGACCGGCAACAATAGGATAGACTGTCGATCCCCGTCTTCCCATATGGTCCCCCAGGCATCGCCAGGTCAACACTAGAGTGCAGACCCAGGAAGAACCCGAGAATCACTGGGTCTCACCCTCGCATCCCCTCCCAAAAGAAAGCAAAAAAAAAAAAAAAACCCTGAAAAAGTCAGCCATGGATCACCTAACCCAGTAGAGTCCGCCAGTCAGGCAGTAAGAACCTTGAGCTCTGACTGGAAGTAACCCTTCACTACCCCTAATGTGGCCCAAACCCAAATCAACAAAACAAACAAGGGCAAAGAAACCTCAAACATCTGAGTCCAGCGCTCTGACCAGGAGCCATGTCCCAGGGCTCCCTGCAGAAACAACTGGGACAGAAGACCCTGAAAGCCGGTGCGCTCCTGTCATTGCATTGTCATCCTGTCACTCTCCTACCTGGGGACACTGTGTTATGCTGCGTGTCACCATTGTCTCCAGTCTGTTATTCCCAAAGGTCGGCAGGAGGCTCTATGCAAAGACCTGCAGGAGAAGACAGCTGTGAGCACCAGAGACAAGCAATTCCCCAGGGCCCTGACAGGCAGCATCCACGGGCACTGGCTTACAGACTCACTGAGACACACACTGTCAGATGCTCCTTCCCCTCCAAGGGTCGCAGAGTGGGTGGAAATCCAGTTGCCTGTCACTCTCAGGGAAGGCAAGGCAAGCAGCTGACCTGCTGTCCTAGCTCTAGGACCCCTTGGATAATCACTTGATCACTTGATCCCCCGTTATTCATTGATTTACTCGAGCGGGTGCCAGTAATGTCTCCATTCATCCCGGTTGCGTGCTAGCGTAGCCCAATGGTATCTGTTCGTTCTAGGAACATGCAGAGCCTCAAACCGATCATTGAGGGTCTTGACAAAGAAGTCTGCCCATCTTGTAGGTGGGCGTCCACGCGATCTTTTGACGTCCCATGGAATCCAATCAGTAATGGCTCTAGTCCAACAGTTGTCTGTAAACCTCATTACGTGTTCAGCCCATCTGATTTTTGATGCCTTGGCAAATGAGACAGCGTCTCTGATTCTTGAGCGTGGATAATAATACCTGAAAATGTTATGACATCAAGCAGAAAGCCAGTGGAACAGATGAAAACTAGGTCCAAGGCTAGCACGACAGCACATCGGGAGGGCACTTGCCTTCACATAGCTGACCCTGGTTCGATCACCCACAGCCCATAGGATTCCCCAAGCCCACCAGGAGAGATTTCTGAGTGCAGTCAGGAGTAAGCCCAGAGCACTGCTGGGTGGGGCCTCAAAATAAAACAGAAACACCCAATAAAAAAGTGAGTGATGTACTTACTAGGAAAAGAACACACCTAATTTCACAAGTCTCTGAACTTAACCAGTGTAAAAGTTGTCTGGTGATGGCCCCAGAGAAAGCACAGAGCATGAGGTGCTTGCCAGGCACCCATCAGACCCAGATTCAATACCCATTACACCACAGGGTCCGCAAACCTTGATGGAAGTGATGAATCAACCAGGAGTAACCACTGAGCATTGCTGGGTGTGACCTCCAACTAAAAATAAATCAATACATTTAGGGTCAGGCACTGTAGTTGGGTTGGATATTTGCCTTACAGATAGCTGATCTGGGTTCAATTCCCGGCACCCCAATGGATATCAGTAAGTAGCAACCACAGGGTATGACCCAAAATCCAAATGGAAAAAGAAGTATTTGTTTAGGAATCAACACCCTGCCATCAGGTTTTGCAGGATGCAGGTTTGGATTTGGGGGTTACAATTGGCAGACCTTCGGGCTTATTTCTTGTGGTACTTGGGGGAGCTTGTGCTGTGTCACGAGATTGTACTGTGGTTGGGTGCTTGAAGGCCACACTATTCCTGTTCTATCGCTGACCCTAAATTCAAATTCTATATAAATCCTATGAACCTTGTGAGAAGAACACAGACTGGCATGACAGGGTACAGGGATGTGGCCCAAATGGTACCTGCTGGCTAGTGGCCTGACCCTGAGGCGGAAGCTCAGGTTTCAACTGGGAGGGGGGCTGGATGGAGCAATAGGACAGCGGGTAGGGCGTTTGCCTTGCACGCAGCCAACCCGGGTTCGATTCCCAGCATCCCATATGGTCCCCTGAGCACCGCCAGGGGTAATTCCTGAGTGCACAGCCAGGAGTAATCCCTGTGCATCCCCAGGTGTGATCCAAGAAAAAAAAAAAAGAGAGAGGTTTGTAGGTATCTGAATGAGAGGCCCATGGGCAGGGCACTTGCCACACATGAGGTAGCCTCAGCTTCACACCCTAAATCCTTAAGGACTGATCCCTGAGCATTGCTGGGTTTGACAGAAACCCCAACTCTCCTACCCTCCCTCTTAACTGCCAAGACCAGAAGTGTGAAATCCAGAATTATATTCTTAAAGGTCAGTTCTTGGTTTGTTTTTGTGATGCTCAGGCCTTACAGGACAGGTTTTCATAGACTCTAAGATTTTACTTCTCTTGATACCTGAT